ATACTATAGTTGCTATGGTAACACAAGTGTAATATAAACAAATTACCCAGTGCTGTATTATTTTACAATATAGGGTATTTTATACTACAAATCACTACACTTTACTGTAGTTAAAACTACACTTTGTATTATTTTATCTGTTCACTTTTAGTAATACTACTGTATTATGAAGCATTAATTAACAAGTCGTAAATAATACTAGCCTAAAACATAAGTATAATACAAGTATACAACAAGTATAATACTCAAAAACACTAGAATTTATTAGAGAATTTACCTTAACCTTTTAGTTTTTTGTGTATTGTTAATAAATAGTAAAGCAAGAAAGAAACCATATCAACATTCATGGAATAACCCTTCGCTAAGCCTCGCCCTCCTTAGTTACTGTTGCTACGCCTGTCAAGCTTTCATGCCTGGCACATCTATTACAGTGTGATTGCGCTGGTGTCAGACATTCCCAAGGATTTAATTAGTCATTTTTGGCAAACAGGTGAGATATCTGAGAAAGCCAGACAAAAGAGGACTGCAGTATACATTACAGGGGTATATTCACAACATAATAGCAACTGATTAGAAAATAATTTTATCAAAATTGAAGCAAGGTTAGCCTAGCAACCTCATACGCTGAACATTCAACAGCATAGTTCATGCACAGCAGGAGAGGTGAAATTATAAAATAATCTAATAACCTAAGAAACTGATGGATTTGTGCCGAATATTAGCATCATTGACCCATAACAGTGTACAGTACCTATTACTGTCAGCATGTTTGTGTGCTCTTTATCCAGTTTTTATTCAAATTTGCAGTTAAGTGGAAAAAAAAAATTGAAATGCACATTAAAGTATAAATAACAGAAGTGAACAAATAGATTTTTCCTACCAGCAAATATTAGTGTATGTATTTATATGCGTTACAATAGCGAGGTTTTAAACTAAGCAGTGCTCACAGGGTTCAACGCTAAGGATTTTTTCTACTGGCCCGATCGGGCCAGTGGTTCTGATTTTTACTTGCCCAGCCCAAATTTTCACTGGCCCCACCAAAAAAAAAAAGAAGTTAATCGCTATTTGAATGTGCGTGTGTGTGTGTGTATACACACACACACACACACACACACACACACACACACAGTTGATTTCAGAATTATTAGGCCCCATAAATTATTAGCACCCCTGTTTATTTTTTCCCCAATTTCTATTTAACAGAGAACAGGTTTTCTCAGCACATTTCTAAACATAATAGTTTTAATAACTCATCTCTAATAACTGATTTATTTTATCTTTGTCATGATGACAGTAAATAATATTTTACTAGATATTCTTCAAGACACTTCTATACAGCTTAAAGTGACATTTACAGGCTTAACTTGGGTAATTAGGTTAACTAGGCAGGTTAGGGTAATTAGGCTAGTTATTGTATAATGATGGTTTGTTCTGTAGACAGTCTGAAAAACAATTAGCTTAGGAGGCTAATAAATTTTACCTTAAAATGGTTAAAAAAATGTTTTTATTCTAGCCAAAATAAAACAAATAAGATTTTGTTCAGAGGAAAAAATATTATCAGACAAAATATCAACATTTCTTTGCTTTATTAAACATCATTTAGGAAATATTTTAAAAAGAAAAAACAAAAAAAACAAAAGGGGGTTAATAAATCTGTATATATATTTACGGTAATTTTTAAAATGTTTAAGGAAAACTATTCAGTTCATCAAGGCTATATTTATAAATGTAAAAAAGGTGTAATTGTTAAATATTTATTAAAATTTTAAATAACTGCTTTGTTATTGTATTTAGTTTCAAATAAAATAATTACTCCAGACATTATTGATTTTATAACTATTACCATTAATAAATATAATAATAATTAATATTAGTGATTTCTGAAGGATCATGTGACTGGAGTAATGAAGCTGAAATCTCATCTTTAAAATCACTGGAATAAATGAATAAATTAAATGATAAACTACTTTTGAACAGTTATTTTATAGTGCAACATTTCACAATTTGTATTTATGATGAAATAATTGCAGCCTTGGTGAGCAGAAGAAGCTTGTTTTAACATATTTAATCACACTGACCCCAAACTTTTGTGTATTGTGTATAGAATATTTTATAAGTGAAAATGTGCACTTTAATTTTAACAACCCACAGACATCGTCACCAAATACAAATCGAGGTCAGACTTTCTCATATATACAGAGCCTCATTTCAATTGTCAGGTTTTGTAGAAATCGATCAATTGAATTAATCAATCTATTAAAGAAACGTTGACTATAATTCTGTATTTTAGGCTTAAATTATAGAGAGACATAGCAGATGAACCGAGACTGCATCAGATCAATGTAAATCTTTCTTTCGAGCTGTCAGTGCGGAAATGAACAAAACAACAGGCCTAACACAACATATTATACGATTAAAATATGGAAAAATTAACAGATAGTAATTTCGGTCAATTTTCCTGACGGATAACCGAGATCAGGCTGGATAAACAGCTCTCGGTAATATTTCAGCATGCTTTCACTTTCGCATTTACCGGTAAGAATGACATCTCGCCCTGCTCATCATTCCCTCTTCATATAGCCGTATATATGGCTATTACACGATCATGATACACTGTGATATAGCCTGGGTCGTTAGTTCGTTGCATTGTTTTGTTTTCTCGCTACAATCGATACGCTCAATAGGACAGAGACCGCGTCTCATTCAGGCGATCTTGGACTGATTGATTTGGCGCAGATGCGAGCGCAACTGCTGGATATATGCTAAAAAAAACGTGCTAACGGGTGAAACGAGACAGATTCCGAAACAAACGTCTACGTGTGAAAGCACCGTAAGATTGTATTTGCACACAATTGACAGACAGTCGCAGCACGCAGCTCTGGCTCGATCTGGCAGGCAAAAAGGCAGCAGCTGGCCCGATCGAGCCAGTAACATTTTGTACACTGGCCCGAGTGTCTCGCACGCTGGCCCCGGGCCATCGGGCAGTCCTTATTGTCGAGCCCTGGCTCATAATATCGAGTGGAAAAAAAGAAAAAGACCGCTGGGAAGCATAACCTGCTTTTTTTTTTTTTTTTTTTTTTTTTTTAAAGAAACAGTTTAGATCTGTTTAGGATAAGAGGAGTGTGAGTTATTGCCACCTATCATTGAATGTGAATATCGAAAACAAAACCAACTTAGCTTAACTCCTTTACCGCCCCTCACACAGCTTGATCCACGCTGGCATTTCTCCTCTTGGGCTTTGGTTTTGAAAAGGGAAAAATCCCACCACCCAGTCCAAACTTTTAGGATAGCGGGTGTCAGATTTTCACAATCCAATTGCGCAACGATTTGGCTTGTTTCCCTCGCTCGAAAGCTTGACAGAGCCTCTGCCCGTAGCTACGATTGGTAAGCCGCGATTGGTGGGTGGCGGTTTTTGGGCGTGGCTTAGCGAAGGGTCAGTTTAAAAGGAGGATCCCGTGAGAGCAAATGCATTAAAGGTATGAGACGCCATCGTAAACAAAAGTCAAGCGAACGCAAAGAGACTGATTGCACGAGAGAGAGAGAGAGAGAGAGAGAGAGAGAGAGAGAGAGAGAGAGAGAGAGAGAGAGAGGTGTATGTTGTATGTGAGAGAGAGAGAGAGAGAGCGAGTATTGGCACGCGAGTATTGGCTCATCTCAAGTTCAAATTCAAATTCTCTCTGCGTTCGCTTGACTTTTGTCCACTCCGGCGCCTCATAGTAGTCACGTTGGATACTGTCGAATCAAAACAATCTACCGTGCTTCGATTGGACGTCATGCCGAAAGCGCGCATGCTCACACACACGCGCGCGCATGCTGTCACACACACACGCACACATAAACAGGGAGAGAGAGAGAGCGGTCCATGTCAACATACTTTTTTATCGTTGGGCTTTTCATGGGAAGCAGCAAGTCTTTACAAGTCAATAGGGGCAAGTCCTAGTCAAAGTCCAAGTCATTTATGTTCAAGTCCAAGTCGAGTTGCAAGTCTTTTTATATTTTGTCAAGTCGAGTCTAAAGTCATCAAATTCATGACTCGAGTCTGACTCGAGTCCAAGTCACATGACTCGAGTCCACACCTCTGTTGGGCACAGAGGAATCACCAAAGTTAAATGAGCTAGCATCTAGTTTAGTCTGTCCACTACACTCTTGTGGTTTTGAGCTGGTAGACACAACCTCCACTGGAAACACATGAGCAATGGGCATTCCTCTTTTAAGATTTACAGTGCGAGAGGAGACATTTCTGATCGTAACTCCAATCTTTCTTGACTGAACAACAGTATTGGCCTGTACTTCGGCGGTTACAAGCAGTTCATCTGGAAACACAGATTCCTCTGGCTTATCGACTAACAGAGTCTTTCCAGAAAAAGCAGAAGGGCATTTCAACACTCCATAAACCCTAGCACTCTCTCCGGGAGGCAACTTTAATGGCTTAGGGTTAAGATACCAGACAGTTCCTCTGCTGTCGTCACAGTGACTCTTTTCAACTGCTATGGCCCGTTCATAAGCATCTCTGATCTCAGGATGAACAGTCAAGGTATGTAGAAAATCATCTCCCACCTTTTCTTTGCATGCTTCTACCAGCTTTTTCACTACAGATGTATTTGTTCCCACCAGAATGTTTACATCCCCTTTCATGACAGGATCGGGACAGACCAGCACAAGTGCATCTATGGATTCCGCCACTCCTGCAACAGATCCTGGAAACTCCAGCCTCAAAGACAAACAGCCATCATATGGGTACTTTTGCATACTCAATCCCCATATCTCCAAATTTTCTATTGGTATCAATGGCATATGTCTCAAGTATTTGTCATAGAAGGATCTGTATAGCAGGGTAACTTGCGATCCACTATCTAACAAAGCCTTTGCATAGATTCCTTCCACTTGAACAGGAAGGACAGAACTGGGTCCTACTAACCCGCTCGGAAGAACTGCTGGCTCAGCTTGGACTCTTTTGCACTTTGTGGAACGTGTCTTTCCCGGAGCTTCAGGCCGTTCCTTTACTGAGCCCCGGAGAAGTTTCCCGAAGATTGTCTCATTCTGATGAGTCGCTGGTTTACTTTCCTGAGATTTTCATCGTTTTTACAGTCCCGCTTAAGATGCCCATCTTCCCCGCATCTGTAGCAAAATATGTTGGCTTTGGTTACTGTACGTGTTGGAGTTTTACAGTCAGCAACAGCAGCCAGACTGTGCATGGCTGGACGATCATGGGCTACAGGTTCTTTGGCTGCAGCTGACAACCGAGACACCTCATTTTTCAGCCCCCTAATCTCCTTCTTTAACTTTTCTACTTCTGAGTCGACAGTACCACTGTTAGCAGACGAATCCTTCTTGGTAGTGGGCACTACAGACATGGCAACATTAGACGGTAAGGTGCGCCTACTGCTGACCATATTTTCTTCCTCTCTAACCTCCTTCATTAACTCGTTGAAAGAAGGTGGCTCACAAAGCTTGTGGGTCATCCTCAAACGCATAGCCACCATATCACCTGCTAAGGCACCTCTGACTATTTGCTGCATTCTAAGATGATTAAGAGCAGAATACTCAATTCCTTTTTTCCGCAGCATGCTATGGAGCAGTCTGTCCAACCTCAATATGTAGGCTGACAGCTTCTCTCCTTCATTTTGGTAAGTGCTTCGAAATTTAAGCATCAAATCTGCAGCATCCTCAGTACTGCCAAATGCTGACTCTAGTACACTAAGATAGTCACTATAAGTAGCGGCTGAGTTGCCAGTCTTTTCAAATCTTACAATATCTGCTGCAGGACCTCTGAGGCACTCTACTAGTTTCTGCTTCTTAACATTATCAGAGCACTGCCACTCTTCCAAAATGTGTGTAGTCTGCTCCACCCAAATCTCAAACTCATCTTCCCCAAGAGGAGTTGGTATAAACCCTGAAAAAGGGCGCAGCTTTCTATATATCCCTCTCTCCTCAGATGAAGCCACATGACATGTTTGAACAAGGGAGTTTATGGCCTCGACCAGCTTAGTGTTGAGGTCAGGAGCAGGAGATGCCAAACTTGAAATGTCAGCTAATGATTTTCCTTCGTTTTGAAGGAACAAATTCAACTTAGTCTGAAATTCATCTTCCTTGCTCTTTTTAGGAGCTTCAGCTGCAACACACACAACCTGTGTGTACCAGAGACCTACTTCAGGTCCTCCAATCTCTGCAGGGATAGATGTCTTGGATATGTCATCATCAAATTCAATCAAAACAAATTGAAATTCCTTATTTTTATCTAAGCGACAACCAAGCACCTTGCATTTACCAACTCCCAGAGCAGTATCTAGTACATTATAGATCACTCTGTCCTCACAGGCTGTAGGCACATTGCTAAGAATAATAACTTTGTCAAGACCCACATCTTTGTCTCTGCACCAAGCAATAATCTCACTAACCTCCATTTTTTTTTTTTTTTACTTACAAAAAAAAGAATGTAAAATGTGTTTGTAAAAAAAACTGAATGAAAGAGAAAAATATATATTCAAAATAAACCCCAGAATAAGTATACACGCAAATAAATCACTTCTAAATTTCTTTCTGAATTAACAATCTGAGTAATCTGATTGATCCCGGACGAGCCCCCACAAATGTAGCCCTCTCCCCTTAACTAGCTCAGAAAAAGTAATATGTCTAGGGAAATTCAAATAAAATTCAAGGTGAGAGGCACATCCCTATAACTTTAAAATTATCAATGTCTGTTCATCAAATGGTAATAACAAACACTTAATAACACCGGGCCTCAGATATATATGTAGTGTTATTCAGAGTAGAAGTGACTATTTGTTTTCTTTTTCTATTGCATAATATAATTTAACTCTCTCATTTACAAGTTATTTTACACACTGGTTTATTTAACCATTAATGTTCACCCTTTCTGTAAAAGAAAATCACAAATGCAAGGCATATAATAACTTTTTACATTTATTAAATATTGTGAGGCTATTGTGTTAAATTTCTTTCATTGTGTTTTAAATCACTTTAAAGCTGTAGGACTCAATTCACTTTCAGTGACAACACAGCTTCACTTAATCAGACATACAAATCAAACACACATTTGAGCAACATTATAGCATCAAATAAAACCCAAAATAAAATGTTACCCAGCTGGGATTTAAGTCTTACGTTGGCGCGCAATGTTGGAGCTCACGTTGGAAAAAAACACTTTTCAGTACTCACAGAATCCGTAGAAATAATGAAGGTCACAATCACAGTACCCATTCACAGAACCAGACACACTCCAAACGTCTCTGACGTCCATCCGCGATCCCGAAACTGAATTGCCTCACCGCAGTTGCAAATCCTCCGATCATGAAGCAAACGGCCCGATTAGCAAAGCCTCAGTCTCTCTCCAGTCGATCTTTCAGTCCGCAGGTCTGACGTTCACTCTCTCTCTCTCTCTCGGAACAATTAACCACACAGATTGTCCAGCGATCCTCAAATGCACTAAGGATGTGGGTTAACAGTCTTTGTAAACTCAGAACTAACACATGAATTTTCTTTTGTGTAACTATTTCAAGGCAAACTATTAGAACAAAAACTCTAAATCAAACGCATCTGACTCTCTGCTCTTGGTTTCACTTCCTTCCCGTCTTCTAAGCTCCGCCCCCTAACCTCTAGAGGTCATCAAACTCGACACATAAAACATATTTATTTATTTATTAGATAATATTTTTCATAAATAACTATGATATCAGAATTTAAACACCTTTGTTATTTAGCAGAAAGTTCTTAAAATAGTTTGTTGAAAAAAAAATAAAAGAAAAACAAAAACTGCTTCAAATCAACAGATCCTATATTAGTAGGGCTCTACAGTAATACAGCCTATAAATATGTAGTTAAGATACTAAAACACTCAAAGGTCTTGGCTTTCATTTTCACTTTCAAACAGGAGCTATTTCACTGCACAGAACATGCTGTTTTGAAAGATATCTGAAGTAAATTGATGCTTTTGCCATCAGAAAGTTTTGTTTATGTTAGCAGGAAGTTGCCAGGTAAGAAAATGCACACATATTTAAAGTCACAGTGAAAAGTATCAGACATGCATGCAGTCATTTTAACCAATATGGTAATTTAAGGCAGAAATGCTCAGTTCTTTACTGTTTTGTAATAAAAAAAAATAACAATGTCAGAAAGAAATACACTGATAGTTAGAAAACGGCAGGGTGTTATAGATATGTTAGTTTTATTTCAAAGAGTTATAAAATTACAAAAATTAAAAACTCTCTGTGTATCTATCCACTGGAACCTTGCAGATGAGTGATTAATCCGCGGATGAATCAGCTGATTTGACGATGTTTTTAAATGCTTTCTCCAAAGCTTGAAACGCTGTCAGTGATGTAATCCGCACACAAGCAGCCAATAGTGTTCAGCTTTTTTTTTGACGACTCCTCCCTCAAATTTTCATTGGCTGTGGTTTGGTAGCTTGAATGAGCTGATGGGGAATGAGTTGTTGTCAGATCATGTAGTGTGTGACCCCCCTCTTGTGGATCGTTCACGGAGTGTTGCGTAGTGTGAACACCACAGAGATTAAAAGACACAAAGTCAGGTCATGTAGTGTGAACGGCATAGCGATCTGCTGATGTTTAAACTCCTGTAGTGTGAACTAGGCTTAAGCAGTAAGTCATACTGCTCACATTCATACTGTATGGAACAGTGGTCACCAAACTTGTTCCTGGAGGGCCGGTGTCCTGCAGATTTTAGCTCCAACACTAACTATACACACCTGAACAAGCTAATCAAGGTCTTACTAGGTATACTTGAAACACCCAGGCAGGTGTGTTGAGGCAAGTTGGAGCTAAACTGTGCAGGGACACTGGCCCCCCAGGACCGAGATTGGTGACCCCTGGTATAGAACATACTTTCCAAACTGCTGAGTAGTAGACGATTTCGGACGCAGCCTATCTTTAATATGATACATGAGCTGCTAGTGGTTGTCCCCTACCGATAAACTTTCGGTAAATAGTCAATGCAACTTTTTCTCAAGTTTATACGGTTCACTTTACATCAGTGGTCACCAAACTTGTTCCTGGAGGGCCGGTGTCCTGCAGATTTTAGCTCTAACCCTAATCAAACACACCTGAACAAGCTAATCAAGGTCTTACTAGGTATACTTGAAACATCCAGGCAGGTGTGTTGAGGCAAGTTGGAGCTAAACCCTGCAGGGCACCGGCCCTCCAGGACCGAGATTGGTGACCCCTGCTTTACATCATCAATGTAGTAATGTAACTAAAATATAATCAGCTAAGTAGGCTTCAGCATTCATTTAATTGATCAAGTGTAAAAAGAGATGAAAAGCTGTTTAAACACAAGCGCCATCAAGAGCAGCAGGCAAGCGCAGGAACTCCATTGAAAATAATGTGGTAAATTTAATGTCCATATTTTAAAGACATGACGCAGAACAATGGTATTTCATGCAGTGCTTCTTGTACATTCCGAGACCCACTTTATACCCTATATATCAATCAAGCAGTAAAGATCAATGACTTTTAAAGAAAGCAGAACTTAATCACTGCAATTTTGTTACAGCATACAGTTCACAAGAAGCACCTGAACTCAGTTCCCGAATATAAAGAGTCCTTCTGGATGTACCCTTTGAGAAGTATGCTGCAGTGTATTTCATAAGAGCGTATTTCATTTTCTGAGCATAAGAAACACATCAAAACTCAAAGCAAGAACAGGACACGTCGACGATCAGTTTGCAGATACTTTTATTATGTGTTTAATCATGAGGGTCACTAAATCTACTGACTTTATACAGTTGGAAAGTTAGAGCAGTATCGACTCGCGATAATAAACGGACAGATGACTGTAAAAATCGAAAAATAACACTGGAAAAGGAAGACTGAGGCCGTATCCTGCATCACAAGGTAACAGTTCACATAATTCAACTGCTTAATTAGCTCTTTACAAGGAAGAATGACAGACAGATACATAAATAAATAAATAAATAAATAAATAAATAAATAAATAAATAAATAAAAGGCCAGCTCAGTCTCCATTTGAAGGAGGGAATAAATAGTGGAATAATTTATAATAAATAAATGCAAACTCGTAAAACAAGCAGCCTCAAGGTCAACATGAAATCACTTTTAACCATGACAATTTATAAAATCAGTATGTTTTTAAGATCATCTGGGTTTCTCAAATTCTGATCAGAAATTATGACTTTAGAATGACGCATTGAAAAATCATTGACAAATCATTTTAAAAAATCACGTATTTATAAAGTAAATCTCATTTTATGTTGACTTTGAAGAATGCAGAACGATTTTGAACACATTACACACACACACATGTGAAGACAACTTGTTTTTTTTTTGTCGTTCTGCATTCTTTAAAGTCAACATAAAATGAGATTTACTTTATTAATACATGATTTATCTATTATTTTCACTGATTTATCAATTATTTTAGCTGATTTATCAATTATTTTCACTGATTTATCAATTATTTTCAATTATTTATCAATTATTTTCGCTGATTTATCATTTATTTTTGCTGATTTAGCAATTATTTTTGCTGATTTGTCAATTATTTTTGCTGATTTAGCAATTATTTTTGCTGATTAAGCAATTAGTTTCGCTGATTTGTCAGTTATTTTTGCTGATTTGTCAATTATTTTGCTGATTTATCAATTATTTTCACTGATTTATCAATTCTTTTGCTGATTTATCAATTATTTTTACTGATTTATCAACAATTTTTTTGCTGATTTGTCAATTATTTTCACTGATTTATTAATTATTTTAGCTCTTTTATCAATTATTTTTGCTGATTTATCAATTATTTTCGCTGATTTAGCAATTATTTTGGCTGATTTAGCAATTATTTTCACTGATTTGTCAATTATTTTCACTGATTTATTAATTATTTTAGCTCATTTATCAATTATTTTTGCTGATTTATCAATTATTTTCGCTGATTTAGCAATTATTTTGGCTGATTTAGCAATTATTTTCACTGATTTGTCAATTATTTTCACTGATTTATTAATTATTTTAGCTCATTTATCAATTATTTTTGCTGATTTATCAATTATTTTCGCTGATTTAGCAATTATTTTGGCTGATTTAGCAATTATTTTCACTGATTTGTCAATTATTTTCACTGATTTCTTAATTATTTTAGCTCATTTATCAATTATTTTCGCTGATTTATCAATTATTTTTGCTGATTTATCAATTATTTTCGCTGATTTAGCAATTATTTTTGCTGATTTAGCAATTATTTTAGGTGATTCAGCAATTATTTTTTGCTGATTTGTCAATTATTTTCACTGATTTATTAATTATTTTAGCTCATTTATCAAATATTTTTGCTAATCTATCAATTATTTTTACTGACTTATCTATTATTTTCCCTGATTTATCATTTATCATTTATATTCATTGATTTATCAATTATATTCGCTAATTTTTTAATTATTGTCCCTGATTTATCAATTATTGTCTCTGATTTATCAGTTATTTTCATTGATTTATCAATTATTTTCGCTAATTTATCAATTATTTTCCCTGATTTATTAATTATTTTTGCTGATTAATCAATTATTTTTTGCTGATTTGTCAATTTCTTTTTATTTACGCATTGATAAATCAGTGAAAATAATTGATAAATCATTCATAAATCATTACAAATAAGAACAAAATCGTCTATTAATAAAGTAAATCTCATGCCATGTTGACTTAAAAAACTTTTTTTTTACAATATTTCATTACATCATCACATAATGTGCGTTATTCAAACAACAAGCAGCCTTTAGCTTTAAAAAAAAAATCATCATTTGTATTTCAGTTCTGCATTTAAGGTCAACATGAAATCACTTTTAACCATGACAATTTATAAAATTAGTTGGCCTTATTATATATCCGCCGCAATAAGGCGCAAGACTTGTATGGCACGATTTGTTGCTATTTTCAGACCAGCGCAACTGTAATTTTCACAGTTTGCTTCACGTTGTTTAAATAGCGAATCCATTTGCATCTCCTTGTGGACTCATGGGTGTGCTGGTCTATACAGGAGGTGTGTAAAGGCGCATTGTTGGCGCGTTGCTATTTTGAGGAACTGAAATAGAACATTGATCAAATAAAATCTGCTCTTAAGTCCAGCGAAGAGCACATTAGTTATGCACCTATCCAAATCCAAACATTTACACATTGCTTAATACACAAATCTCTTTACAGATGAAAATTATTAAAGGATTTAAATATTACAAAAATGATTATTTTCTACATAAATATAAAACCCGCTGCCTCTATGCCTTCTTCATCTTGTTTTTTTCTTCTTCAGTTTATTCATGTCAATTTGCATCTGTATAATGTTATTAATATTAGCAGTATTATTTATTATGTGCATATTTAGATTCGTTTTAATAAACACAAGTGTAGATTTGTCCACCTGTGGGGTTTTGAAGACGTCTGCATCACCATATGGGGCATAAGAACAGGACGTGTGTTTGGCTATAACTCAGTTTTTGGTCACACTTTGTTACTTTTGCTCAATTATTCCTTTGCTGGAGATTAGAACTGAATTCAGAAACAGTTTTGAAACAAATATTTGCGCTTAACAAACTAAATTAAATATGTTGGATGTCTTCAGCGGAGTAAGTTTCCACCGTTTCCTTACTCCACCAAAGTAAAGGAGTAAAGTAAAGGAGTAAAGTAAAGAGGCTAAATGGAGGAGGCTCGTTCTTTATCATCGCGCTGCAGGTGCTCTGTTTAACTGTTTTCTCGCTAGAGAAGCGTTCAGTTTTTACACTTACAGTTCGCTATGTAAATAGCAAATGTGCCATGGTGCGCCAAACGGTAATGGGAGATGAGACTCTGATTGGTTTAAAGCAGGTTATGCTCAAAACAAACCCAGAACTCACTAAGAGAATAAGCACAACCCTGTTAGATCATGCGCCATGGCGCAGTCTGTATTTTTCCATCCTTAAAATAGCAAAAGTGGATTCAGACAAGCCCTTAATGCTTTTGCGCCATGAGCTTTAGACTGAGCCTACACAGCAAAATCCTCTGAGTAAAATGTACTCAGTTTAGATAGTATTTGGTCTCTCTATAAATTGAGTTACTTAAGTTAATGAGACAAGGATTAAGCTGCGTGATGATTGAGCTCTGATGATGAACACCTGCTGTTATTAAGCAGAAACACAAAACTACAACTGACTTTAGTCACAGCCTTAGATGAAATCAGCTGAAATATAATACATTGAATCTCTCAAAATCTCAGCAGAGGATCATTAAGCAACTCCACAAACAGCAGCTTTACTTTTCACCGCTTGCCCTTATTATAAAGAGGGACCAAATGCTCTCTGAACTAGGTAAATTTTACTCAGAGGATTTTGCTGTGTAGATCCTTAAAATAGAGGCTAGAATGATTTTAATGTTCATCTGGAGGCCGTAATAAAGATCTGATGAGAAATCATTGATAAATCATTGAAAATAAGAAGACAATCATGTATTAATCAAGTAGCTCATGTCATGTTGACTTTAAAGAATGCGGAACGATCAAAAATCACAATATTTCTTCACATCACTGCGTAATGTGCGTTATTCACATGAAAATGACTCATAAAAAACAGTTTCTCCAAAAGTACCAAATCAAATAAGAATGCAAGGAAGGTTAAATAAACAGCGTCGCATGAATAAACAGATGTGTGCGTGTATATTTTTGCAGCCTGGTTTCAGGTATAAGTGCACCTACACTAAAGACAGGATCAAAAACAACAGAGATTCATAGTAATAATAACTGTACAGCGGTGAACACAGAGCTCTAACTGTATTTATATGCACTAAACACAGCCAGAATAGAAGTCAAATACTGTATAGAATAAGAAATATCACATCTCCAAAAAGAATGGACGTATAGGTGCTTACGATATGGATTATTTTCCAAAAGAGCGACTCCTTTCCTCCACGTCATGCCAAGCTTTTCCACATACAAAGCCTTTATATAATCCGGTATATAACTTGGAATATACAGTGCATAGTTTATAGCCAAAACTTGCAGCGTAAAACATCATTATAATACAACATGATTTAAAAAATAATATTAAAAACAAAGTAATATGTTTAATGTGTTTTAAATAATAAAATGGGTGAATCTCACAAAAATGTGTCAATGATTTAAAACAAAACAATTCCAGTAAGAAATATTTGCATAATAAAATACAATTAAATAGTTTGTTTTAATTTAATTTCAGGTTAAAATATATCACCATGTTACTGTTTTTACTGTAATTCTGTAAGACTCGGTGAGCAGAAGTGACTTTAATAAACATTAATAAATTGCAACACAGGCTTATTCTGAAAACATAGCCCTGTATACATTTCTGGAGATCACAAATTATGTAGCCAGAGGTACGTATGGCTGCATTTTGTCTTTAAAACGAACGCTACGGGGTGTTATGATGCCATTGCTTTTCGCGCTTATCTCCGTATGGACGGTTTTACAGCTGTTACCAGTTGAGATGCAGAGAGGAGTTGACCATGATTGCTGGGTTCGAGTCTGGCAAAGAACGGTTTCAGAAAGCAGGTAAAACAAAAACAGAAGCAAAAAAAAAAAAAAAACAAGTAAATAACAGGGTGATAATGGTAAAAGGCTGGTAAAATCTGAAAATGTGGTAAAAATCAGGCGGTGGCGAGGGCTTTTTTTCTGGATTGCTTTTGGAAACACTATCGGTTGGGTTTAGAGAAGGGAGTGATTGTGTCAATCGGTGCTTTTGAAAACACTGTTGGTTGGGTTTAGGGAAGGAGGTGGGCTGGGCGATCGGTGCTTTCTAAAACACTTGGGTTTAGGGAAGGGGGTAGGTGGTGTTATCGGTCGGTCAGTCAGTCAACAGTGGCCTCTGGTGGATTTACGCGAGAACAGCAGGTGCGAGTGACATTCGCGAGAGAAATTTGAGATCTCAAAAAGTGTGCACAGCAGCCTCTGCAGGATTCGCGGAAACAAAAACTGCAAAAAACTAAGCTCCTGGGACGTATTTGCTGCTCTCCAGAAATGCATATAGGGGTACGCATCCACAATGAGCCTGGGTTAGTTTTTAATTGGGATTCTGGTAGACTTGGTGATAATTGACTTTAATAAACATGAACAAACACAGGCTTATTCTGAAAACGTAGCCCTATATACATTTTTGGAGAGCGCGTATTATGTATCCAGAGGTACGTATGGCTGCATTTCGTCTTAAAATGAATGCTACGGGGTGGTATGACGCCGTTCCTTTTCTTGATTATCAGCCGACCACTTACTTCCATATGGACGGCTTTACAGCTGTTACCAGTTTGCCCAGTGCCTCGCCACGTATGTTGGAGGATTTGAGACGCAGAGAGGAGTTGACCACGATTGCTGGGTTCGAGTCTGGCAAAGAACGGTTCCAGAAAGCAGGTGAAACAAAAACAAAAGCCAAAAAATAAAATAAACAAGTAAATAACAGGGTGATAATGGTAAAAGGCTGGTAAAATCTGAAAATGTGGTAAAAATCAGGCCGTGGCGAGGGTATTTTTTTAGATTGCTTTTCAAAACACTATCGGTTGGGTTTAGGGGAGATGGTGGGTCCTGGTCATTCTGTGCTTTTGAAAACACTGTCGGTTGGGTTTAGGGAAGGGGTGATCGGGTCAATTAGTGCCTTTGAAAACACTATTGGTTGGGTTTAGAGGAGACGGTGGGCACTGGTCAGTCAATGCTTTTGAAAACACTGTTGGTTGGGTTTAGGGATTGAGGTGCGTAGAAGGATTGGTGGGTCAGTTAGCTGACCGCTGCCTCTGGTGGATTTATGCGAGAACAGCAGGCACGAATGGCACTTGCTAGACAAATTTGAGATCTGAAAAAGCGTACACAGCAGCCTCTAGTGGATTCGCGAAAACAAACACTGCAAAAAAACATACCTCCTGGGACGTATTTCACAATCTCCTGAAATGCATACAGGGGTACATATCAACAATTAGTCCCAGTTGGTTTTTATTGTGATTCTGGTAGACTTAATGAGCAGACGTGAGCATGAATAAATTGTAATATTTCCAAATACTTGGATGTTTAATTGATGAGAGTCTCCCAAATCATGGACTAAATAACACTAAATAATTGAATCTCACACAAAACTGTCAGTGATTTTTAAACAAAATAAACAAATAATAAATTTTAAAAAGCTGCATAATAAATACAAATAAAACTTTCGTTTTTTCTCTGATTTCCAAGACATTTAAACCACTTCTTTATTAGTAGCCCGAATTAAACCCTAAATTATATCACACTAGTAGAGTTTTTACCAGAATTCTGTTAGCCTTGGTAATAAACGCTTGTCAAGATTACCAGCGATCCAGCCTGCGCAGATAAACACAAGTTATTGTAATGAACTACAAGTCTTGTTAATCTGTATAGTGGAACATTACGACGAGCTTTCCCTTGCCTTGTCTTGCCGTGTTTGAACCTAGCCTTGTTTTGTTTGTTTTACGTTGTCTGCTGCCTGCCTTTTGACCATCTCCCAGTTATTTTGACTACGAATCTGGGTTAACCTGTATACATCTGTTTGCTCCCGGTGCTTGCCTGACCATTCTGCTAAATAACCCTGCATTCGGTTCCGCACTCCCTCTGTCCAGTATCCAATTCATTTAACAGAAGACTCTTATTATGTCCTATAATCAGTCCTGGAGTAGCTTCAGCTGTGCCTGTCTGCAATCATGGGGATCTAGGCCAGGTGTGTGAGTGGTGCATGACTGGATCTTGTAGTCCATTTAATGGCAGATTTGTAGTTCTATGCAATACCTTGTGTTTACCAGCGATCTGCACATGCTGGATTGCTGGTGATCATGACAAAGCTGCTTTTCTTGTAAATAAAAAAGAGGATTTTTAAAAATATTCCTAAACATTTAGACTTTTCTTTATGAGATTCACCCAAATGATGAACTATCCTGTATAAAAAAATCTACAACTAATAAAATCAGTTTGTTCTTGCTTTTGTTTCTCATGAGTCTCAATCTCCACCATGATAATAAAGTGTCTGGATTTTCAGATTATTTTCGATTTAACATTGTTAACCCAGTTTTTTGGTAATATTTGCAGCGTGGAAGAATTTCAGGAAAAAAGTGCTCATCTTATGTTTGTTCCTCAGGCCTTTAGTCTTTAAATAGAGACACTGGATATATTTATAACTATGTGTGAAATCTCTGTGTATGTGTGTGTGTGTGTGTTTGTGTGTGTGTGTGTGTGTGTGTGTGTGTGTGTTTGCCGACTGCTCAAATTGAATGTCTGCTATTGTTCTGTACAGACTGACTGTACTTGATAACTTTTGTTAAGCAGTTATTTCCCGATTGACTAGCTATATTCACACTGTACACAAACCCAGCATTCAGGGCAGTTTTGCTCATGTTTATCAGCTGCTGAGATCAGATGTGTTTGCGCAATTATTTATGCCTAAAACTGTATATCATGTACTGGAAAACAAAAGAAATGCATGACACAAATTAAATAAGTAAGTAATAATGTTTGCAGTGCAGTTCACCTTTAAACTGCGATGTGTGTGTGTGCTAGAAGTGTGCAGTTGTGGAGTTGTGTGAGCTGCTTTGGCTGTAGTAACTGTGTGATGGGCTGACGCTGCGGCTGCTGTAGCTGCTGTACGTGCTGCTGTAACTGCGGCTGCGGCTCCGGCTCCGGCTGGAGCTGCTGCTGTAACTGCTGGAGCTGGAGGACGACGATGGGCTCGGACGGTAATACGGGATCGGACGCTTCCGTGCACTGCACACACACAGCAACAGAGAGAGCGTATTAATATCAGCATCATATAAAACATTCACCTTTACAAAAAAGCACTTCAATGCCACTTTGACCACTCCACAATGTGAGATTAACTTTTTTTCTGGTATAAGTGCCTGCTATGGCCGATCCCCGCTGGTGATCCCCATATGCTTTCCGCCACGGTTAAGTTCCCCCCCCCTGGGCGGACCCGTGCTTTCCTTATCTGCTAACCACCTTCTTATGCGCACTCCCCCTTTCAGGGTTAGTCCATATGTAATTCCATTTGTTTCCCCCTATTGGGTGCGGATGGTCTCCGCAGTGTCCTCCCTACTGGGATGGCACGCTTCCCAACGTACTGTCGTATATTCCTAGAATTATCTAGATGCTAACGACTCCCAAAAAAATATATACCTATTCCGTAAAGCTTCTTTTGAAGTGGGATAAGTTAGGGCCAAGGGCACGTTGGAGGACCGTGCCTCTCATGATCTGGGTGCGTCACGCTTGCCTGACCGCTCTCTCATGGTGGGTGTTGGTAAGGTGCAGTCATTATGGCGCTTTCAATGGGCTCCCATACGTGGATTTAGAACATCAAATCCACTTATAGTGCTGGAGTTCCCCCCGAAGGGGAACGTTCGAGGTTACTAAAGTAACCCTTCGTTCCCCGAGGAGGGGAACGGAAGCACTATACTCCGTCGCCATAATGACTGTTAAAAGTCTCTTCAGCTTAAAAAGGATAGCGTCTGCTGGCGCCAGGTGAGCTTATATACTCAGTTGATTGCATATGCCGCACACCTGCGCAGGCTTGCGCTGCCAATTCATTCTTAATTGGCCCGTTCAATACTCTTTCAGACGAGTAGCTTCTGAACCGAATCTCCCATACGTGGATTTAGAACATCAAATCCACTTATAGTGCTTCCGTTCCCCTCCTCGGGGAACGAAGGGTTACTTTAGTAATCTCGAACGTTACTATTGCTAGATAGCAGGTTTTATCATTTATTTCAGATAGGTAAATAAATCTGCCATTATGTTGTGGTCAGTGAGCTGCAGTCATGATTAGTTTCTGCCTGGAAAAGACGTTCAGCTTTGGTTAGTGTTGAGTGTTATACACACACACACACACACACACACACACACACACACACACACACACACACACACACACACACACACACACACACAATCACTCTGCTGTGTCATCATACTGAACAAACAGACCATAAGTGTGCAAAGAGAAACATGAGTTAACTACAGTGTATTAGTGAGCATCCGGAGAGATTCAGACTGGACCAGGAATCAACATTATATTACTATTACTATTATTATTAGTGTTAATCTGTAAACCAGCCTGAAAGAATGATAAAAGCAGAGGGTTAATAGAGAGAAAGACGGAGATCGAGAGCTTGTACTCGTGGACTGATGAAACTGGCGGTCCTGATGCAAGACAACGGTTGTCCTGGTAACGGTTGTCACGGCTACAGATCAGCATCGTGGTGGTGTGATGTCATCGAGTCAACCTTCATACAGGAGAGAGTGAGCACAAACAACCTGCTGCTTTCAGAATGCGCATCGTGAATATTCATAATGCGCATGATTATTCATAATGCAGTATTCATTATCAGTGGGTGTAAAAGTTCACGCCGGAATCCTGAACCTGAAACATGGACAAGCCAAATACAAATACCTCACCCAAACCTGTTGAGGAAAAGACTGCATGTAAAAATAATCTAAATTGCACCTCATTGTAGGTCAGTCAGTTGTATTTGTGTATATATTTCAATTAATTTATTGATGCATTTATTAATTGCAGTAATGGTAATAACAAACTAAATTTAAAAAGCTGGTGATTTTTAATTAGATAAAAATTATTTACCTAATCAATTTAAATGTATTTTATTTAACTTGATCTGATCTTTTTATTTTTGTTATATATTTAAAAAAAAAAGAAGTGAAATCATGCAGTACACAGACTGACATATAGGTGTCAGTGTTTCTTTCATTTACCTTTTCTGTTTTTGTCAAAACATTGGTGCTTGGCATAGATTAATATCGATTAATCACACCCAAAATAAAAGTTTGCTTTGACATAATATGAATGTGTGTGTTTCATATATTTATTGTGATACACACATTTACATAAAAACAAAAACCACATAAACTTTTTTGTCACATAGATATTTACATTAACATTTTATATCTCAATATACGGTAAATGTTTTATTTTTTCCAACATATGCATGTCTGTGTGTATTTATATATACATAACAAATATACACTGCACACACACGTTGTGTAATTTTTATTTTGGATGTGATTAATCACAATTAAACTTTATCCAGCATAAAAAAAAATAAAAAATATTCATTCATTCATTTTCTTCTCAGCTTAGTCCCTTTAATAATCCGGGGTCACTACAGCGGAATAAAGCACCAACTTATCCAGCACGTTTTTACACAGTGGAACCGTCAGATTTGTGATGCGTAACACCACTAATTCATGGTAAAACACAAAGATAAAAAAATTTAAATGAGAGATGTTACCTGTGCAACTAACTTAAAAAAAAAAAAAAAAAACCTATGTTTATACTAAAAGCTAATTAGAAATAAATAATTAATAAACATAAAAAATTCCAACATTTAAGTTACATTAAAAATTTTTTTTAATTATTACTCAAATACTATAAACATATTTAAAAATACCAAAATAGTTTAAAACATACCAAAACAATTGATTTGATATGGATTCCACATAATAAAGAAAACACCTCTTAACCTCCGCTATTATATTTGTTTGTTAGACTTTATTATTCCCAAAGGGAAGTTCACACATATCTCAATTTTAATAATATCAATAATAAAACAGTTTGGTAACAACATACATTTGCATAACAATTAATTAATGGAGCCTGAAACAGATTATGCAACTATAGCTACTATAACACACACATATATATATATATATATATATATATATATATATATATATATATATATATATATATATAATAAGGGTGTCACGATCCTCCAAATCCTCGATTCGATTACATTTTCAATTGTAAAGGCACGATTCGATTCGATTCGATTTTTGATTATGAATAATTAATTAATTAATGACCAATTAATTATTTGTAGCCTACCTTTTAAACTACCTGACCTGCATGGTCTTTATTTTACCCATCAACAAATCATACAGTAAATGAATAAAGGCAAGATACACACATAATTACCACCTGTCAATCACTTTTTCTGCGGGACTCGTGAATAGGCAGTGATCTGTGTCGTTATAATGGCGTCAGTAAAAAAGACGCACAACCAACAGGAACCAGCCAACAGTATCTGAGGTGTTCGCTAAAATGACTAAGTACAAGTGAGTGAAAGATTGAAGCAGTCCTCTGACTGCCTGGACCTGCTGTCTCGAGCGCATGGCTGTGTCTGTGTGGTCACGTGATGTGCATTTTTAGCGATAGAGAGGAAGGAGGGCTGCTCAGAAATGCTACACGCCACTGTGGATGTCAAATCGTTGTCGTTCTAAAATGCCATTTAAAAACAAAGACAGTGTAAACAGGGTCTGAGTGTGTACTTTTCGCGAGCGAATTTGCAACGGGGGCAGGCGGAGGATCGCGATGCCGGTGTTGTCTACCGGACTACCCGTACGTAATATGTACATAGCAGAGCTTGCAAAACTGTTTTTTTTTTGTCGACAACACGAACGTTGTCAACATAACTCACTGGAAATCCAAAATGCTTCCACAACGGCGACTTCATTGAAAGAGGAGAAGGTTTAAGCTCTGTCGACGGGTCTCCTGCTTCTGCAGTTTAACAAGCACTTCAACAAGCCTGTTTTTTCCCGCTTGGCAAGCCAAGCTGACGTGACATGGGGGCGTGGCAGCATCGACGATTCTATTTTTTGATTCGATAATCGAAATTGAGCATAAATTTAGATCGATTTCGATTAAAAATTGAAATCGTGACACCCCTAATATATATATATATACATACATACATTTATTTCATACTTTAAACCTTGAAGCCCTCAAAGAAAGAAAGAAAGAAAGAAAGAAAGTGTGATAAAGTTAAGTATTTTCTTGATAATGTCTTTCATGAAAAAACAAACAGTTGAGGTCATAATTATTCACACTCCTGTGAATATTTTTGTCCTTCTTTTTCAATTGTTTTCCAAATGGTTTTTAACAGATTCAGGAATTTTTCACAGTATTTCCTCTAATATTTTTTTCTTCTGGAGAAAGTCTTATTGGTTTCATTTCGGCTAGAATAAAAGCTGTTTTTAATCTTTTAAAAGCCATTTTAAGTTCAATATTATTAGCCCCCTTAAGCAATATTTGTTTTGGATTGTCTCCAGAACAAACCATCGTTATACAATAACTTGCCTAATTACCCTACCTTTACTCTAATTAACCTAGTTAAGCCTTTAAATGTCACTTTAAGCTGTATAGAAGTGTCTTGAACAATATCCAGTCAAATATTATTTACTGTCATCATGAAAAGATTAAATAATTTTATGTTTAGAAATGTGTTAAATAAATCTCTCCGTAAACAGAAATTGGGGAATAAAATATTTAGGGGGGCTAATAATTCTGACTTCAACTGTATCTACTTCTGAATGCTCCTAGATGGTGTAGTTACAGCATTAACCAGCAGAGGCGACCTGGAGCCAGACCTGAAAAACTAAAGCCTGTAAAAGGTAGAACTGACTTTGCATTCCTATATTAATTAAACCATCACAGTTCCTTTATGTTTAATGTACAAGCGGATGTGGGAAGCTTTACCTGGTGATCCTGCGAGCCTCCATAAAGCTGGGCGAGTCTCTCCGTCTCTTGCGGATCGGGGAATAACTGCGTGAGCGGCGGCGAGCTCTCTCTGCGTCTGAATGATGAGGACTGTCTCTTTCTCTGCACACACACAATGCACAGAGCAGTGAGTTTTTCAATCATTTTCCTTTGGCTTAGTTACCACAGCAGAATGAATCGGCAATTATTCTGGCATATCTTTTTGCAGTGGATGCTCTCCCAGTCTAAACCCAGTACTCGGAAACATCCATACACAAAGAGAACATGCAAACTATACACAGAATTACCATCAGACCCAGCCGAGACTCGAACTAGCGGCCTTCTTGCTGTGAGGCCACAGTGCTAACCACTGAGCCACCATGTCACCCTCTTGGGAAATATTTAAAAAATAATTTGAATTTCTGCTGAATATTAATGAGTCCTCTTATGAATATGCATGCACCTGGAGTTGTTCTGGCGGGCGTGAGGTGATTTGTTCTTGCTGGTTCCGCGTTCCCGTGATGTCGACCTGCCACTGCTCCAGGAGCTGCTCCGCTGCCGCGTCGTCCCGTGACTTTTGCTCTTCTTCTTTTTAGACGCGTGTTTGTGCCGACCGGGAGACACTGATGAGCTCCGGTGTCGATTCTGGCCACGTCCACGATGGTGCCGCTTAGAGGAGTGAGCATCCTTTGTCCTGTGAGAGAATGAAGAGCACACTGGAGAAATGCTACACATAAACAGTAGTAGCTTTTTCAACACAGGCGCATTGTGGATACGTATCACGGTCTACATTTCTGGAGAGCGCAAAATGTGTACCCAGAGGTATGTCTGGCTGCATTTTGCCTGTTAAACGAACGTTACGAGTGGTGGTATGACACTGCTGAAGGCTTTTGTTTCTTTTCACGCTACCGCCGACCGCTTACCTCCATGTGGACTGCTTTTCCACATATTGGAACTGAACCTACAACATACACAGGTCTGTAAACCATTCATCAAACTGTTCAATTTTTGAGACATTTTCAGAAAATAAATATTTATTTATTTATTTATTTTTAGTCAGCCTGACAGATTTTGACACTAGTTCAACTTTTTTAAATTAATGACTCGAGTAATGAAATGAGGACTGTTAGTTTTATATGGACTGACTATTCAGCATTCACAAGTTTAGGTCATTTTGACTGACACGACATAAGCAGATGATAATGCTATAATCAGCAGAGAGTTATTGTAACTGCCCTTGATTTAATGCACTCGCTTTGCTTGCCATAATTGGAGTCACCACAGGAGGGCGCTCTAGACTAATAGGATTTAAGTGAGACAAAGCAGAGTTAAGCCTGATTTATACTTCTGCGTCAGGTCAAGTTGTCAAGTTTCTTTGCTGCTTCTTTGCTTTTCCTGAACACTTCCGGGATGTACAAGTGGCTCAAACTCGCTCATTTTGAGGCAGGAACCGGCGGACGTGCAACAACTTTAACTATGAATAAACACAAAACAAAACTTTCCATCCGGAGCTCCTTCACGGGACTCCACACTTGTAAACAATCGCTCGCGTCATTCGCGCGGCTCTCGGTCCCGCCCAGACTCGTCAGCGCGACCAATCACAGAGCTTACGCTACGTGTCGTTGCGACGTGTAGTTACAATTTTTGAGAGGTGCACGTCAGTGACGGCGACGGCAACGGCGAAGAGCTATGCGTTAGCGCCGTAGCATACGCCGGCGTTTGACGCAGAAGTATAAATCAGCCTTAAGAGCAATACACGTTTGTTCACGAGCTAACAGGTACAGCTCGGAAGAATGCCTTGAGCCTTTAGTGTCCCTTCGGCAAGCAGAGCGAGGTATGTTTTGTTTATTGTTTGATTTATTTGGAAAATTGTAAAATATTACAATGTTTTGTAAATGTTTGTTGTTTATTTTTCTATGTTGTTTGTTTGTTTTCTCTAGTTTTACGGTGCTTTTGGTCATTTGATGCATGTCCAAAAGCATTTGCAATTTGTTGGAAGGAATGAGAAACTGCTACTGTGATGTGCACAAATGACTAATTGTTGTGAGAAATGCATGACCTGGTGTGCAAATGTAAATAGTGTTGTGAGAAATGCACCAAAGCTACTGAGAAAAAAAGTTGAACTAGTGTCAAAATCTGTAAGGATAATTAAAAAAAATAATTAAATATTTTCCTGAAAATGTCTAAAAAAATTGAACAGTTTGATGAATGATTTACAGACCTGTGTATGTTATAGGTTCAGTTCCAATATGTTCTGCAGTATTGTTTACAGTTGTGCACAGCTCTACCCAAAGGAAGTGTATGTTTGTTGTAAATAAGGGTGAATTTATTCTTTTGCACAATGCTGTGAATAAATCAGAATTGTAAAGAGCAAATGCAGTAAACATGTGAAACACACATATTCAGTGTCTTGTACTCGGATACCTCACTAAATGCAGAGATGTCTAACTTTGCTGTAGTTTCCAAATGGCTGATGCTAACAGTATCTAGTGCTGTCTTGAGCATTTTCAGCAAGTGTCACCAAAATCTGACAGTTTTGCATTGAAAAAATGTACAGAGTAAACTGACATGATGAAAACATGACAAAACCATTTGACTATCTTGTTCATAAACAATGGTGTCAGGACTTTTCATTTTGATGATACTGACACTTTGATTGACATCAATACTTGCTTTTGAGGATTGAGCTCTCCATTTTGAGCAAGTGACGCGCTTTTGCCGATTATCAGCTAGGTTTTGCAGTTTGTACTAATTGTTTTGAGAAATGTATTTACTGTTGTGCAAATGTAAATAGTGTTGTGAGAAATGCACCAAAGCCACTGAGAAAAACTGTAAAAAAAAAAAAAAATCATTAAAGTCATCTCTCTTAGTTGTAACTTGCTTTTGAAATATTTTTACGGTTCAGTTTGTGCCATCTTTATATTACAGTTTTTCTCAGTAGCTTTGGTGCATTTCTCACAACACTATTGAGCACTATAAACTAATAGTGCTCATTTCATTACTTGAGTCTTTAATTAAAAAAAAAAAAAGTTGAACTAGTGTCAAAATCTGTCTAGCTAATTTAATGAAAAAAAATAAAATTCAATCTTTATTTTCCTGAAAATGTCTTAAAAATTGAACAGTTTGATGAATGGTTTACAGACCTGTGTATGTTGCAGGTTCAGTTCCAATATGTACTGCAGTATTGTTTACAGTTGTGCACAGCTCTACCCAAAGGAAGTGTATGTTTGTTGTAAATAAGGGTGCATTTATTCTCTTGCACAATGCTGTGAATAAATTAGGATTGTAAATGGCAAATGCAGTAACAATGTGAAACATACATATTCAGTGTCTTGTACTCAGATACCTCACTAAATGCAGTGATGTCTAACTTTACTGTAGTTTTTAAATGGCTGATGCTAACAGTATCTAGTGTTGTCTTGAGCATTTTCAGCAAGTGTCACCAAAATCTGACTGTTTTGCATTGGAAAAATGTACAGAGTAAACTGTCATAATGAAAACATGATGACTATCTTGGTCAAAAACAATGGTGTCAGGACTTTTCATTTTGATGATACTGACACTTTGATTGACATGGATACTTGCTTTTGAGGAATGAGCTCTCCATTTTGAGCAAGTGACGCGCTTTTGCCGGTTATCAGCTAGGTTTTGCAGTTTGTACTAATTGTTTTGAGAAATGCATGAATTGTTGTGCAAATGTAAACAGTGTTGTGAGAAATGCACCAAAGCCACTGAGAAAAACTGTAAAAAAAACAAAAAAAAAAACATTAAAGTCATCTCTCTTAGTTGTAACTTGCTTTTGAAATATTTTTACGGCTCAGTTTGTGCCATCTTTATATTACAGTTTTTCTCAGTAGCTTTGGTGCATTTCTCACAACACTATTTAGCACTATAAACTAATAGTGCTCATTTCATTACTTGAGTCTTTAATTTAAAAAAAAAAAGTTGAACTAGTGTCAAAATCTCTCTAGATAATTTAATGAAAAAAATAAAATTCAATCTTTATTTTCCTGAAAATGTCTTAAAAAATTGAACAGTTTGATGAATGGATTACAGACCTGTGTATGTTGCAGGTTCAGTTCCAATATGTACTGCAGTATTGTTTACAATTGTGCACAGCTCTACCCAAAGGAAGTGTATGTTTGTTTAAATAAGGGTGCATTTATTCTCTTGCACAATGCTGTGAGTAAATTAGGATTGTAAATGGCAAATGCAGTAACAATGTGAAACATACATATTCAGTGTCTTGTACTCAGATAACTCACTAAATGCAGTGATGTCTAACTTTACTGTAGTTTTTAAATGGCTGATGCTAACAGTATCTAGTGTTGTCTTGAGCATTTTCAGCAAGTGTCACCAAAATCTGACTGTTTTGCATTGGAAAAATGTACAGAGTAAACTGTCATAATGAAAACATGATGACTATCTTGGTCAAAAACAATGGTGTCAGGACTTTTCATTTTGATGATACTGACACTTTGATTGACATGGATACTTGCTTTTGAGGAATGAGCTCTCCATTTTGAGCAAGTGACGCGCTTTTGCCGGTTATCAGCTAGGTTTTGCAGTTTGTACTAATTGTTTTGAGAAATGCATGAATTGTTGTGCAAATGTAAACAGTGTTGTGAGAAATGCACCAAAGCCACTGAGAAAAACTGTAAAAAAAACAAAAAAAAAAACATTAAAGTCATCTCTCTTAGTTGTAACTTGCTTTTGAAATATTTTTACGGCTCAGTTTGTGCCATCTTTATATTACAGTTTTTCTCAGTAGCTTTGGTGCATTTCTCACAACACTATTTAGCACTATAAACTAATAGTGCTCATTTCATTACTTGAGTCTTTAATTTAAAAAAAAAAAGTTGAACTAGTGTCAAAATCTCTCTAGATAATTTAATGAAAAAAATAAAATTCAATCTTTATTTTCCTGAAAATGTCTTAAAAAATTGAACAGTTTGATGAATGATTTACAGACCTGTGTATGTTGCAGGTTCAGTTCCAATATGTACTGCAGTATTGTTTACAATTGTGCACAGCTCTACCCAAAGGAAGTGTATGTTTGTTTAAATAAGGGTGCATTTATTCTCTTGCACAATGCTGTGAGTAAATTAGGATTGTAAATGGCAAATGCAGTAACAATGTGAAACATACATATTCAGTGTCTTGTACTCAGATAACTCACTAAATGCAGTGATGTCTAACTTTACTGTAGTTTCCAAATGGCTGATGCTAACAGTATCTAGTGCTGTCTCCAAAATCTGACAGTTTTGCATTGAAAAAATGTACAGAGTAAACTGTCATGATGAAAAAATGATGACTATCTTGTTCATAAACAATGGTGTCAGGACTTTTCATTTTGATGATACTGACACTTTGATTGACATGGATACTTGCTTTTGAGGATTGAGCTCTCCATTTTGAGCAAGTGAAGCGCTTTTGCCGATTATCAGCTAGGTTTTGCAGTTTGTACTAATTGTTGTGAGAAATGCATGAATTGTTGTGCAAATGTAAATAGTGTTGTGAGAAATGCACCAAAGCCACTGAGAAAAACTGCAAAAAAATAAATAAATAAAAAATAAAAAAAAAAACATTAAAGTCATCTCTCTTAGTTGTAACTTGCTTTTGAAATATTTTTACGGTTCAGTTTGTGCCATCTTTATATTACAGTTTTTCTCAGTAGCTTTGGTGCATTTCTCACAACACTATTGAGCACTATAAACTAATAGTGCTCATTTCATTACTTGAGTCTTTAATTAAAAAAAAAAAAAGTTGAACTAGTGTCAAAATCTGTCTAGCTAATTTAATGAAAAAAAATAAAATTCAATATTTATTTTCCTGAAAATGTCTTAAAAATTGAACAGTTTGATGAATGGTTTACAGACCTGTGTATGTTGCAGGTTCAGTTCCAATATGTACTGCAGTATTGTTTACAGTTGTGCACAGCTCTACCCAAAGGAAGTGTATGTTTGTTGTAAATAAGGGTGCATTTATTCTCTTGCACAATGCTGTGAATAAATTAGGATTGTAAATGGCAAATGCAGTAACAATGTGAAACATACATATTCAGTGTCTTGTACTCAGATACCTCACTAAATGCAGTGATGTCTAACTTTACTGTAGTTTTTAAATGGCTGATGCTAACAGTATCTGGTGTTGTCTTGAGCATTTTCAGCAAGTGTCACCAAAATCTGACAGTTTTGCGTTGGTAATGTACAGAGTAAACTGACATGATGAAAACATGTTCATAATCAGTGGTGTCATGACTTTTCATCTTGATGACACTGACACTTTCATAGACATTAATACTTGCTCTTGAGGATTGAGCTCTCCATTTTGAGCAAGTGGCGCTCTTTTGCAGGTTATCAGTTAGGTTTTGCAGTTTGTACTAAGTGTTTTGAGAAATGAATTAACTGTTGTGCAAATGTAAATAGTGTTGTGAGAAATGCACCAAGGGTGAGGCAGTGGCGCAGTAGGTAGTGCTGTCGCCTCACAGCAAGAAGGTCGCTGGGTCGCTGGTTTGAACCTCGGCTCAGTTGGCGTTTCTGTGTGGAGTTTGCATGTTCTCCCTGCATTCGCGTGGGTTTCCTCCGGGTGCTCCGGTTTCCCCCACAGTCCAAAGACATGCGGTACAGGTGAATTGGGTAGGCTAAATTGTCCGTAGTGTATTAGTGTGTGTGTGAATGTGATTGTGGATGTTTCCCAGAGATGGGTTGTGGCTGGAAGGGCATCCGCTGCGTAAAAACTTGCTGGATTAGTTGGTGGTTCATTCCGCTATGGTGACCCCGGATTAATAAAGGGACTAAGCTGACAAGAAAATGAATGAATGAATGAATGAAATGTACCAAAGCAACTGAGAAAAACTGTAACAATTGCGTTCCCTCAGCAGTGCACTTTGCAATCATTTATGCCATTTTGAACACAGCCGTGGCTCATGACAAAAGCTACTGTTTAGGTGACCTATTATTTAAAAGCGGAACATAAGTTACATCTACAAAGTTTTGGAGACACACCCCTGGCCAGCTAAGGTGTATACTGCGCCCTCTGGTGGATTTATGCAAGAAGACGATACACAGGACAACTTTGAAATCATCAAAAAGCGTACACAACGGACTCTGCAAAAACAAAAACTGCAAGCAGATGTACCTCCGGTTATGTTTTTCGCTCTTTCCAGAAATGCAGACCTGGGTACATATCCGCAATAAACCTGGATTGAGCCTTTTTTGCACGCCCTTAGTGCTGTTGCGCTTAGATCGTTAAAACACATAGATATATACACTAGATATCGCATAGGGACCCTGAGCATGCGTCAATAGCGCCGCCACATTGGTACAGTGCTCCCAGGACAAATGTCATTCAACCGCACTAGTCAAGACAGTGTTATTACGTGAAGATGCGGGACTTTAGTGCTGTCTACGGGTGTAGTAACGAGCAAACAAAGAAAACAAAGCACAAAGGCAGAACATTTCATAGGTAATATTAATTTTTTTTCTGTTTTTGTATGTTCTGAACTTTTGTGCTAATCAGGTAACGTTATTGATGATAACAGTCAATTACTGCATTCACCATACGGCAAAGCAGCTCCAACTCGCACTAAACACTCGGCTTATACTAGTTTTGTTGAATAAAATCAGCAAACAATGCAAAATAAATATGACAACGAGATGCTGCGCTGCCAGAAACTTGTATTATTGTCGGCTAACGAGTCGTTCGGTGGATTCATTCACAAACGAATCGCTCCCTCCGTCAGTATGAGAAGTGAAAGCAGGAGAGGAGCTGTGTTTCAGGACATGATTAGATCAAATTTAACAGGGAGGGTGAATAGTACATTTCTGTACACACAAACACAAGCTTTTTGTCAGGAATGCCCGTGCGGTCACTGATCCATCAGTGTAGAAAAGTGATATAAAATTATAATTTTCGTAATTAGAAAAAAAAATTACACACTAACATCCAGGAAAACTCCCGATCATAGATATGTGTGTATATGTGTATATCCCTGGCTTTGCATGGCCACAGTCCTCCACTGTACCTTGGTCCCGCATTCATTTCAAAGGAGCGCTACCCTGTAGCAAGATGGCGGCACTATTGACGCATTCCGTCCAATAGACAACAATAGGCCAGGCGACATCTAGTGTATATATCTATGGTTAAAACAGAGCCCATAGTGTGCAGTAAATGTTCTTACTTCTTCTGACTCTTGCTTTTAGTGTGCATCTCATGCTGTGAGTCGCTGCTGTGCGCCGGCGAGTGCTCGGTCTTCTCTCTCACCCTCGTCCGACCACCTCGTCTCCCTGCGCTCTCCGAAATCGGCGCTTTCCCATCCGCGCAGTCGTCCTGCGCCGCAGCTCCTTTAACACCTCTCACATGAGGAGACGTCGAGGGAAGCTTCTGGAGATGATCATAACCAACAAACCAAAGGGAAATAAATAAAACAAAAAGAAATAAACGTGGAAAAGGAACAAACAGAAAGAGAAGAGTGAAATTAGAGTCTTTCTCCTGCCGGGCGGAAAGAGCGTTATCGTGTACTTGGCAAGAAAGAATATCTAAAAGAAAGTGCTAGGATTGTTGTCTGGCTTATAGACAGTCCTCTATTGTGCAGCGCATGCAATACTCGGCATGCAAAACCATAATGATTCGATAACGAAGAAGAGTCCCGAAAGAGAAAATCAAAAACAAAGAAACAAAACGAAATAAAATAGGGGAGGGGGGATATATAATGCCAAACTGTGAACGCAAAGAAGTTTAGAGAGAATATATAAAGAGACTGGAGTAAATAGAGAGAAGTAGAGGACTTTTTCAATTTCAGAAAGAGCTACGAACAAACAAAACAGAGGTGAAAACTAGAAAAGAAAACAAAACGAAAAGAATAAAAGACAACTTGACAGAACATCACAGAAATGGAAGGAACGAAATTAAAGAGTCACAAGAATCGAATTAGGTCTTCTACTCAATGGATCTTGCTTGTGGATTTGTTTTTTGTCCTGCAGACAATTGCTGAGAAGTGAACAGCGACCCATTTGCTTTATTTATTTTTTCATAAATGGTTATTCTGTTTTTTTTTTCAACTCCCTTTTGGTTAACATCCACTTACCAATAAAGTGGTATTCCCTCCTTTAGTAGGTAAGGTATGAAGAGAAGGGAAAAGTGGGGCAACATAAGTGCATCATTAGATTCACAAAATGCAAGAGAAAAAGACACAACACCCTTCCCTGGATAGTGAGTATGAAACAATGCATGAAAATCAAACCAAAGAGAGAGAAAGAGAGACACACAAACGAACTGAAAGTCAAAGGGATTTGACAGTGTGCGGGCTGGAAACCATCGGTCTGAGGGCAGTTTTACAGCAGCTCCCTCTTCTGGCTGTGATGTGTGTGTTTTGATGCTCTCGCTTCACACTGAAAACCTCAACGCTGTGCATTATTGGGTTATCCATCAAGTTCGCTTGAAGACCCCATGAAATTGCTTTCTGAGTGTTTTTTTTTTATTATTATTATGTTGGCTTGAAATAACAGCTCAAAATCCAAAGAAAACTATAGGATAAGCCTGTAATGAAGCCTCGTTTTTTGGACATTAAAGCCTTTAATGCAATACTGATATACTGAACATGATGTATTGCAAGGTTATTATAAAAAATAAAAATAAAACCTGACATGAAATAAATATCTTATATAAAGTAATATTAATTTTATATTATTAAATTATGTATTTTTTATATACAAATACATTTTACATTTTTGTTATGCATTTATCTTAGATATAATTTTTATTACTATTTATTGATTGTTATTTTTCTTACGTTGGCTTGGTCTGTGTCAAATAGCGCAGCTCAAAATACAAAGAAAACAGTAGGATAAGCCTGTGTTGAAGCCTAATTAGTTTGGACATTAAAAAAGAAAGCATTTAATGCAATCATGATATATACATATATATATATATAAACTAAAATCTGACATAAAATAAATATATTACATAAACTAAATTATATATGTTCAGCTATTATAAATGATCATTATTATTATTATTATTATTGTTGTTGTTGTTGTTGTGGCTGTTATTATTATTATTGTTATTATTATTGTTATTATTATTGTTATTATTATTGTTATTATTGTTGTTGTTGTTATTATTATTGTTATTATTATTATTGTTGTTGTTGTTATTATTATTATTGTTATTGTTATTATAATTATTATTGTTGTTGTTGTTATTATTATTATTAATATTATTGTTGTTGTTGTTGTTATTATTATTATTATTGCTATTATTATTATTATTATTATTATTATTATCATTTTTATTTTAATGTATTAATTATAAAACAATTTACATGTATTTTAAACATAAATATATTTTAAATCTTTGTTAAACATTTTATATTATAAAGTATTATTACGATTAATTCATTTTACTCTTTTGTTTGCTTGGTCAGCATCAAATAACGCGCTTTAAAATCCAAAGAAAACACCTGCCAGAATAACTCCAGGTGCATGCATATTCATAAGACAACTCGTTGATATTCATCAGAAATTCTAATTGTTTTTCAAACCTGAAATAAAATTAATATATAATATAAAGTAAATTATACATGTTCAGCTATTATATATTATTAAATTATAAAATAATTTGCATGTATTTTATATACAAATATATTTAACATTTTTTGTTATAATTTTATCTCAGAAATTATTTTATTACTATTTATTGATTGTTATTTTTCTTACGTTGGCTTGGTCTGTGTCAAATAACACAGCTCAAAATACAAAGAAAACACTAGGATAAGCCTGTGTTGAAGCCAATTTTTTTTGGACATTAAAAAAGAAAGCATTTAATGCAATCATGATATATTGAAATAAAATAACTATATTACATAAACTAAATTATATATGTTCAGCTATTAAAAATGATCATTATTATTATTATTATTATTATTATTATTATTAGTAGTAGTAGTAGTAGTAGTAGTAATATTATTACTATTATTATCATTATTATTCTTATTATGTTTATTATTATTACTATCATTATCATTATTATTATTATTGGTAATAATAATAATAATAATAATAATAATAATAATAATAATAATAATAATAATAAATATTATTATTATTATTTCAATACATTAATTATAAAATATTTTACATGTCCTTTAAACACAAATATATTTTAAATCTTTGTTAAACATTTTATATTATAAATTATTATTACTATTAATTTATTTAACTCTTTTTGCTTGGTCTGTATCAAATAACGCACTTCAAAATCCAAAGAAAACGCCTGCCAGAAAAACTTTAAGTGTATGCATATTCATAAGAGGACTATTTATTTGCTGGTATTTTTTAAACAAAAATACATTTTGAATTATTTTTTTTATACATTTTATATTATGCATTACTTTTATTACTATTTATTTATTATTTTTTCTTGTCAGTTTGGTCTGTCCAATGAAAACATTAAAATAAGCCTGTGATGAAGCCTAAATTTGGACATTAAAGCATTTAATGTAGTTATGATATCATGTTCGAATTGTTTTGCAAGGTTATTATAAAAATAAAGAATAATAAAAGCTGGAATAAAATAAATATCTAATATAAACTAAATTATATATGTTCAGCTATTATTATTATTATTATTATTATTATATAAATTATAAAATAATTTGCAGAATTTTACATTATACAAATACATTTGTGTTATACACTTCATATTATTAATTATTATTATTACAATTAATTCATTTTTTTCTTATGTCGGCTTGGTCTGTGTCAAATAACGCAGCTTAAAACCCAAAGAAAACAATAAGATAAGCTTGTGGTGAAGCCTAATTTTTTTATATCAAAATATTATTTAAAAAAAATCTGAAATAAAATAAATATATGATATAAACTAAATTATATATGTTCAGCTATATTATTATTATTTATATAATAATAATTATTAATATTATTATTTATATTATTATTATTATTATTATTATTATTATTATATAAATTATAAAATAATTTGCATGTATTTTAAACAAATATATGTTACATTTTTGTCATGCATTTATAATGTAAAGTATTTTTATTACTATTTATTGATTGTTATTTTTCTTATGTTGGCTTGGTCTTTGTCTAACGCAGCTCAAAATACAAAGAAAACAGTAAAATAAGCCTGTGATGAAGCCTAGTTTGTTTTGGCAATAAAATAAAGCATTTAATGCAATCATGATATAATGTTCATATTGTACTGCAAGGTTATTATTTAAAAAAAAACCTGAAAAATAAATATATAATACAAAGTAAAGTATATATGTTCAGCTATTATATATTATTAAATTATCAGCATTTTCCCAAAGATGGGTTGCGGCTGGAAGGGCATCCGCTGCGTAAAAACTTGCTGGATAAGTTGGCGGTTCATTCCGCTGTGGCGACCCCAGATTAATAAAGGGACTAATGCAATCATGATATATTGCAAGGTTATTATAAAAACAAACCTAAAACCTGACATAAAACAAATATATATATATATTATTAACAAAACTATATAAAACATGTTCAGCTATTTTGTATTAATAAATAATAAACTAATTTGCATGTATTTCATATACAAATATATTTTACATTTTTGATATACATATTTAATTTCAGTACTGAAACCTGAAATAATTAATTATATAATAGAAATTAAATTATATTACAATATCCAGCTATTACATATTATTATTATTATTATTATTATTATTATTATTATTATTATTATTATTATCCAATGATAAAAATATGCATGTATTTTATTATATAAATTATACATTATGATTTCTATTTATTGATTTATTGATATCTTTTTTTATGTTGGCTAGGTCTGTGTTAAATAAAGCACCTCAAAATCCAAAGAAAACTATAAAAATTGTATTTTGCATGGAGATATGTCTGTATTAAAGCCTAATTTTAGACAATAAGATGAAGCAACAAACAAACCTTTAATGCTTTAATGCAGCAAAGAAATATTATGCAAAATAAAATAAAAATAAAAATAAAATAAAAAAAACCCTGAAGATATTATATGTACTACAAAATAAATTATATGAAAATGTTCAGCTATTAAATTATTATTAACAAAGTATTTAAACTATATGCTTGCATTTTAGGCAATACAAATATACTGATTTTTAAAAGGATATTTTATATCACAAATATTAGAGATTTTTATCGATTATACTTTTATATTGTACTGTAAAAATCTAAATAAATAATTATAATACATTTCATGTTTAACCACAATGAAAACAAGGGGGGAAAAATCACAAATAATTATTATTGTTTGTTTTTAAATAATTATTTTGCTAATAAATATGTGTACTCAAAGTCACACACATGAACCAAAACCTACGAAAGTTTGATCCG